CACACACACACACACACACACACACACACACACACACACACACACACATACAGTTTTTAGATGAGAACTCAATGTCCAAAAAAGTGACAAGAAAACAAAAATCTTAGTTTTGATGTATTAAATGTGTAAGAAATGGAATGACTGTGGAATTAGGAACCGTTTTATTCTGCAAAAATAGCAGAACATTTAGTTTGCTTAAATGTTATGGTGTGTGACATTGTCACACTCCATGTTGATGACTATTTTTACTAAAATCTTCATTACTGTCCAAYTTAAACAGTGGTTGTGTTAAAAACTATTACAAATAAGATGTTTGTTCAGATATCAAAAGTCTAACTTCCTATGACCAGTTTAAACTTCATATTAAACCATTTTTCTTCTTTTAAAATGTGTTTTGCTCATGGGTGTAAACTTTCAGTTTTTAAAACAAATGTGTCTACATGTATAATGTCTTGCTATTAAAAGTCATAGCCTATTGTTGATTGAACTGCACGTTTTGATGTTTTTATTTGCTTTGGATTTCCAAAGCTGCAGGAGATTAAAAAAAAGTGTAAGAATAACAGTCAGATAGTATAATTCTTTATTTGTCTACTTAGTTTAATTCATATTGTTGCAGTGAAGAGAAGATGTTACAGGCATAATGAGAAGAAGGAAATTAGATTACTCAAATGCAATAAAGCTTTTTGGTAAAAACATAWTTGAGAAAGAGCAGGTGGAGGTCTGATTGGTTTTTGCTCAGTCAATAAACAAAGCTATTCAATTTTGTGTTACAAGGGAGCAAAAACAAAAAGGTAGGTGATGTCCTTCGGCGATAAGCTTTGCTCCTGTAAACATCTGGTCACATCTGCAGCCAGCTCAGGTCATCAGATCTGCACCAGATCAGGTCAGTTAAAATGACAAAATAAAAAAATTGAAGGTGGGGTGAGAAACAATGCATGATGTGTCACTCACTGAGCCTGTTCCTTTGTGATGGTTTTGCCCTCAGCCATCAGCTCCACAACCTGAGCCACTGCAGGATCGAAGGCCAAGCTGGCAGCAGCTACCACCTCCTCATCTCTGTTTATGACACAGACGGGGGTGGACGTTTAACTCACAAAGATTTGAATTTATTCTCACAGGGGTCAAAGGTCGYCTCGTGGCTGCTCACTTTATGTAAAACGCCAGGAACTTCCGCTCTTCCACTTTGCCTTTGAACACGATTTCTGTGTATCCCTCCCCATAGCCTGTGGAGGGAAACTAAACCCAGATTAGCTACAACTTCCATCAACAACATTTAATTCATATTTAAAACAAACTAAATGTCATTATAAATGGTTAGTAAAATAATAAATAATAAYACTCGACCTCCGTATCTGATGCTCTTCCCAGCAAAGGCAGACCAGAAGAAAGGTACAGATTTAATTGYTGTTGGTTTCTTCAGCATATTTAGAGCTGCTACTCTTCCTGGTTTAGTAAATCAAAAACAAAATAATAAAGCTGAGCACTACGATATGACATGTCTCATTCAGAGTCTGTGTTGTGATACTGTGATAAATCTGTGGATCACCGTGAGCGTGGGACATCTGCCAGTGACCGATGTTGACCCGCTGGTCGCCGCGAATGTTCAGAGGGAAGGAAGTGACGTCTCCGGCACTGAAAATATCGGCGACGTTGGTCTTCATGAACTATGAGGAGAAACCAAACCGTAATCTCCTTTTATATACGTACAGGAATCAAATCTGATCAAAAATATCAACAAACCTGTGTTTATCAGTCAATTTTAAAGTCATAGCACCAAAATAATGATTTATTCTTAAATTAATTCCACCTGGCTTTAGTCTTTTTTATGTTACCTTGTCAACAATTACAGCTTTATGAGAATCCACAGCAACCCCACTTCCTGTTAGAAAGTCAGAATTTGGGATAACACCTGGAAAAAAAAACAAGAGTTGATTTTATTAACAGTCATTAAAAGAAGCCATTTTAACTGTTTAACTCTAATTTATTGTTKGTGTAAACGTGCTTTATTATATTACAGAAAAACCCAAATTACCAATCCCAGCAATCACCACATCTGCCTCCAGCACTGCTCCACTCTTCAGCACCACCTGCTTCACCTACAATCAGGTAAAGTTTAGAGCTTTGCAATAAACCGTTTGGTACATTTCATCTTACTGAGACTCCCAAATTATTCTTATACCGCAAACAAGTCAAATTGAATGGAAACAGCATGAAGTCAGCCTTTACCTTTCCATTCTCTCCTCTGATCTCAGTCACTCTGTCTTTCATGTAGAACTTGACTTTTTTTTCCTCCAGCATCTTAAAAAGGAAAAAGTATTTGAAACATTTCATACAACAGCTTTGGAAAAAAAATGAATTTGGCACAAAAAAGAAAAGGAATTTTGGGTTTGGTTTCTTTGTAAAAGCTGTTTATTTTCCCTTAAACTATGTCACATTTTTAGAGAACATGTATTTGTGTGTTAAGTTGGTTTTTGTTGGTTGTGTTTATGAAAATCAACTCTTTTACTGTCAAACAATTTAGTCTGCTATTAACTCTTGTTTGGCGTTGTTTTTCTTGGATTAAATTATGTAAAAACAGGACATGTTTACAATTTCTTCATTTAACAAAGAGGGGCTTCGGTGGCATGTGGAAGAACCATACACAGCCACAACAACCTGACTCCTCCTTCTTAAGCATGTTGGTCACACACTTTTGTGAGACAGTATCCCATTCTTGAACCAGCATTTGTTAAGAATCACCCAGTGTGATTGTGTTAGAACAGCAAGCTGATCCCACATGTCGAAACTGTAAAGGCAGACCGTTTCATCCTCCCATAAACCCAGCTCTGTGGTTTGAGCTTTGTCATCTTAGAGAACAGAGTTCAGCCCCAGACTGATGGTGATATAAGACTGACACGATAGTCACAGGTGGGGTAGCAGAAACTCAGAACAAATGTCAAAGCAGAAGAACCTGTTTGGCATAAAAGATGCAACCGTCATATTTAACTCTGCTGCTCAACCCACAGATGCATTTTCTCAACAAATATGGCTCCATTTAAGAGAAAAGAAACCACTTTTTGAACAGCATTAAATTCATCACCAAGAAATAACCACTTTTTAAACAGCATTTAATTCATCACGAAAAAATAATCAATCAAACACAAATTTCCTCCCCTTTTTTTGGCTAGGTTTTGCACAAAATGTTTAAAACTTTATTAATATTGCTCACTTCCATCGTCATTTTGCCAATTTCTGGCCCCAAACTCTTCTCAAATGGGTACGAGGAGGGGCCGACCAAAGCTACACTGGCAGCTTTATCAGACAGGTATGACGCCACCTCCATACCTGTTTTATTAAAACAAAACAAAGCAAAAAGCTAATAATTAGCTAATATTTGCTAATAAAATACACATTTACATATTTTTTACACACTTAGCAAAACAGACACATTCTAAGAGACATTAATACATAAATGCTTAAATATTTTTTAAAAGCTATTTCAGGATTACCTATAAAGGAYGCTCCTATTACAACAGCGTTCTTGTTGAGGGAGGAGGCATGAATCTCCTTGGCGTCTTCATAGCTCTGCAGCAAATGGACGCCCCTCAAGTCCGAACCAGGACAGCTTAACGGACGCGCTCTGCATCCAAAAACATCCAAACCATTGCATGTGTGTTGTTTTAGGTTTTTGTGGTGTATTTTACAAAACAAAATTAAATAAAAAAAATGGTTTGGGATGCTGAGGATTACCTGCAGCCGCTTGAGATGAGGAGCTGGTCGTAATGCTCGGAGGCACCATCCTTCATCGTCACTTTCTTATCGGCTGGGCTCACAGACGTCACCTGCAGCAAGCAAACACACACCAACAGCTAATAGTAATACCTMGGTAAATTAAAGCCAAAAATGTTTAATGTTTGTGTGCTGCCGTGATTTTTTTGGAACTATAGTCTGTGCATTAGGAAAGCTGAATTGTACCATCAGTCTGAAAGTCCCGCCTACACCCAATCCCAACTAGCTACTGGCCTCTCACACTGTCAATCACTCTGTAACACTTCTTTAAAAGCCTAAAATAGCTAAATACATTGAAAATAACACAYAGTGGGTCTTTTGATATTTTGCTAACAGACAGACAACTCTTAATAGTRAATGGCAAAAATTTAGGCCAAGATCTTTTAACTTGTTAGCGCTAACAATGTGTGAAGATCAGTCTAAGCTACTACCATACCAAATCCACCTCTATATCGTAGAATAAACAGAGGTATAATCCAGTGACTCGTGAGATATTTTGCTAACAGAAACACAGGCACCTTTCGGGCTGCAGCTGAACTGTTCCATCTCTCACCTCTTTCCCCGTCTTTATCTCAATGCCATATTGTTGGTAGAAGTCAAGTGAGCGCAGGAGGATGCTGTCGCTCTCTACGTTCATCACCTGGAAAATGATTATGCTTTTTTACTAAAGGAGAAACTGAAAGGCAAAACAAAATGCTTCTTTATAAAACAAACAGGACTTGAAATTAAACACGGTTTGAGGGTTACTTTTCTGCTCTGAAAACATTCCTACTTTGCTGAGTTTGGGTTTGTCAAAAGGAGGCAGGCTGTCTTTGGTGACGATGACGATGCGACCCTGGTAGCAGTTTTGTCGAAGCGTCTCGGCACAAACCAGGGAGGCAGGACCTGAGATCACAAAATTCACACCGAAGTCACAAATCTCTCTGTCTATACAGTATCTCTGCCCTCGTCTTTGTTACAGATTAAAYAGAACATTACATTAGTAAGTAAATGCATCACCAAAAGTCACAGTACCTACAAAACGTCCAGATTTTTATTTATTTTTTTATTTTTTTAATGGAAATCTCACCTCCTCCTATCAGCAGGACTGTATGTTTGGCGTCAGGCTGAACTGAGCACATCTCCTTCATCCGCTTGGTTAAAGTCAGAGACTGAAAAAAAAAACATTATTTTAAGTTTTTTTTAACCACTAAAATATTTAAATAGATAAAATGGTATAAATCTCGTATTGCTTACCTTTTTGTTTATGGTAACATAAACTTTGCCATTCTCAACCTTGACCTAGTAGAAAAATTTACAATTATTAAAATCTGTATTTGCTGCAAAGTTGCTGTGTAATGCTAATTACTGGATGGCTCTGTTGAAATTGCTGAAGGAGCTAAAACTGAGTTGTTCAAATTAAAGAAGCTAAAATGAACAAAAGTATAGTTAACTTAAAAGTAGCAAAACAAATGCTAAAGCTTATATGGAGGAGGAGAGAGAGGAACACGCTRCGAGCTGTGAACCCGAGGACGTCCGCCGGACCAGATGGTATCTCCGGACGGGTGCTGAAGGTCTGTGCAGATCAGCTGGTGGGAGTCTTTACTGGGATCTTTAACCAGTCTCTGTCACAGGCCTGCCTGAAATCCTCCATCAYTGTTCCGCTGCCCAAGAAGTCATCAGTATCCAGCCTGGATGACTACAGACCGATTGCCCTCACCCCGATGGTGATGAAGTGCTTCGAGAGGTTGGTCCAGAGCCACATCAACTCTCTCATCTCTTCCACTTTTGACCCACACCAGATCCACAGAGGACGCCATCGCCACAGCTCTCCACACAACACTTTCCCAGCTGGAGCAGCAGGGGAGCTACGTGAGGCTTCTGTGGATTATAGTTCCACATTTAACACCATCCTGCCTGACAAGCTGGTATCCAAACTAGGGGATCTGGGTGGGGTTCATCTCTGGGGGAGACGAGTCTGCCTACAGGGATGAGGTGGAGCAGTTAACGGTGTGGTGCAGAGACAACCTGATTCTGAACACAACAAAAACTAATAGAAGGATCTGGTTGTTGACTTTAGGAGGAAACAGACTGACATCCAGCCGTTACTTATCAATGGGGACTGTGTGGAGAGGGTCTCGGACTTTCGCYTCCTGGGGGTTCACCTAAKCTGGGGTGTTAACACCAAGGAGGTGGTGAGGAAYGCCCAGCAGAGACTCTACTTCCTGAGGGTCCTAAAGAGGAATAACATCACCCAGAGACTGCTGGTGACCTTCTACCGCTGCTCCATTGAAAGTGTCCTGAGCTACTGTCTGTGTGAGTGGTTCTCCAGCTGCACAGTGGCTCAGAGGAAAGCACTCCAGAGAATCATAAAGGTGGCTCAGGACATTGTTGCCCTCTGCCCTCTCTGGAGGAATTGCACAGGACCTGTTGCCTCCAGAGATCACGRCACATACACAGAGACCCATCACACCCCGGGAACAGTTTGTTCGTCCAACTACCAGCAGGTAGGAGGTTCAGGACTGTCAGGACCAGAACGAACAGACTCAAGAACAGTTTCTATCCAACAGCAGTTAGACTTCTAAACACACATGGTTAACTTGGTAACACTACCGTTATATGCAATAATGGTCACTTGACACTTTGAAATGGCCTATTGCTGGGGTTTTTTTTTTTACATTTTTAAATCTTATTTTTATCTTACTTTTTAATTTTATTTTTATCTCTTTATCTTATATTTTATAATGTTCTGATTTAATTGCACTACGGGAGCTGCAAAATTATTTTGTTGTTTATTGTCTGTGGACCACAGTGTTCTTTTCAGTGCAACAATGACAATAAAGTTTTATCTTGCCTTGCCTTGCCTTGCCTTGCCTTGCCTTATCTCTTAATGTCAATAAAATAGTAGCTAAAAGAAGCAAAAATAGTTGCTGATGCTAAATGATAAAAAACAGTAGCTAAAACAAACAAAAAAGTAGCTAAAAGAAGCAAAACAGGTGATAGAGCTAAACTGACCAAAACAGTAGCTAAATGTAGGAAAAAAGATTCTTAAAGTAACAAAAATGCTTAAGCTATAATTATTAAAACAGATATTATAATAAACAAACAGCAGCTGAAAGTAGCAAAGCAGATGTTAAAGCTAAAGTCTATCAAACAGATCTAAAATGTGCAGCATGGTAGCTAAAAGATGTAACAAGCATAAAAGCAGCTAAAAGCTAAAGGTAGCATAGGAAGACATAACTTATAACATATAATAAGTGTTCTGAAGCAGATTTTAAAGCAAAAAAATATTTTAAGGAATAGAAGAGATCTCAGTAGGGAACTTTATTTGAACTAAAGTTACATATTTTGAAGGATATAKAAGTTTAAAGGTGAAAATGCCACAAAGTATGCAGAGGTAGTATGATGTTTTATTAGAATTTAAATTTTATTCATTATATGTTTTTGTAAAAGCAGAAACAATTTGCTTTTATACACTGTTTTATTTTATTTATTTTACCTTGTACGTGGGTATACAGTCTAGGCCTGGATACTCCTCAATGTCTCCAGTTTTGACGTTGAAGCAGGCTCCATGAAAAGGACATCTCACTCGATCTCCAACCAGTGCTCCTGAAAAATTACTACTTTAGATCTAYGACACATCTTTTAATGCAATAAAAAAAATCCAATTCTAGTAAATTAAGAGTTCACCTTTAATCAGAGGAGCACTGTAATGAGAGCACTTGCTTCCAACGGCGCTGTACTGACCCTGGGTTCGGACCAGCAGCACCTTTTGATCCCCCACAGTTACTTCCTTCATTCTTTAGTGACAAAAAGTGTGAAACGAGATAAGTGGGGAAAGGTTTGCATCACTGGGAGCAGCACGATTACATCTGATCMCGGATCTGTTTTTAAAGTGACAATGAAAGCTGAGACTTACTGTCCATCCTTGAGCTCAGACTCCTGACAAACCAGTCCAGTCACCTCCTCCTGGCCTCCTCTTTGACCTGCTTCTTGGTGCATGTCCATTCCTGCAGAAACATGTCTACTGTTACACATCAGAGGGCAGGATAGCACCCGGCACTGTATATGGGCGTTGCATATACACATATCCATTTACTTCTTTTTTGAAGTTACTTTATGATCAGCAGTTGAATTCTGCTATTGTTTGTTCAGTCGCATGAGACTTCTCCCGGGCCAGAAGCTGTCCTTGTTTCAGTTTTTTTTCTGGGTTACAAGAACATATTTTTATATATTCTAAATGACAAACCAATAAGATAACAAGCCCTAACATATGAAGTCTGAAAATTGCTTTTAAAAGTCGATTAAAAAATGTTRTAGCCGCCCGACTTCTGTTTAATGTTTGGAAATGGGGTCATTTATACATCTAGATGAATAATGTCAGAAAACTAAGATGAGCTTATAAAAKAAATWTTATTAGAGACATGCCCTGGACTCAGACCATGATTTTGATTTTGCCTCCATCCATGTAAAAGAGTTCAAAACCCCTGAGTTAATTTATACATGGCAACCTGCTTAAGGCTGTTAATCTAGTCATATTTTAATTATTTTTTAAAAAGACTACATATATGGAAGTAAAWTCTCCAAATAACAAATAATGCATTGTTCAGCAAAATTAATTTCAGCCATGACAAAGACATCGATTGAAAATTCTTATCAAGAATACTGAGCGCGTTTCTTAGAAGAATCACACTGTTCCACACAAGCAGCAATAAGATACACTTTATTTAAACATTTACATGGCTTATTTTGTCTATACAAACTTGTAGCTCCGTACTCACCTGATTTATTTCAGTGGTCAGCCAAAAGCCTCCTATAAAATCTGTTTGACAGAACTTCCGTTTTTCAGCACAAACACTCGCGGGGCTCCTCCCATAGCAACCGTAACCAAGGAAGAAGGGAGACAGGCGCTTGCTGTCGAGAAGTTCGTAATGCGCATGTGCCGAAAATGAAGAGTGGGCGGGGCCAACTCCAGGAAGAGCGAGCGATCGCTGGAGATAGTAGTAAATAATGCTTTTATGAAAGTAAATAATGCGTTTCGTTTGACAAAAGCAGTCTTGAAGCTAAACTATTTTTTGTAGGTGTTGTTTAGATATTGCCGGCAGGTGTCACTGTGCATCTAAACATCCATTATTCCCATTATCCATTATTGTTCTTTATAACCCAAGGCGTTTATATAGAAAGTGATCTTATTCAAGTCTATGATTTAGCCTCCTTGGGTACAACAGCTGAAAATTCAAAACAACAGCTGAAGTCTATGCTATTACATCTTTCATGTGCATTATCAGGTGGCGACATGMATGAAAGCAACGCAGTTTTGTTCAGTAAAATTAAAGCTTAAGCTCTCAGTCACCATAAAACACATTATTACAATTAAAAGCATCGCACTTGCTCTGGGCTCCAGACATGTACAAAATGGAATAATATTACTGTAAACACATGGTGAGCTGAGCTGCCTTATCTGTTGTTTTATTTGACGTAATTTTATTTTTCAGCATACACAGTTTTCTTTCCAATGCACTTGGTTAGAAATTTTAAATAAATAAATAAATAAATAAATAAATAAATAAATAAATAAATAAATAAATAAATAAATGCAGATGGCAAAACATTACGTTCTACTTTCCTAAATTTACTGTTCCTAAAAATAATTCAAGGTTATTTGGAGTTATATCACAGTATTGACAGTACACTGCATGACAAGATTTACTTTTATTTATAGGTTTTTTTTTTTCCCAGCAGATCAAGTGTAAAATGTGCAGAACAAAGTGCAGTATTTAGGTCATTGTACTGGACAGACTTCCAGAAATGACGAGAAAAACATTTCCCTCCGTTTTAGTAATGGGTTGTTTGGATGAGTGTCATATTTTCCGACATTACGTGAACGCAACCCAACAACACGCGCTCGTGGCCGCGCCCCTGTGTAGTAGGGCGGGTAGAACCCGTTGTTTGGGTTCTCGTGTTGATGTCAAAAAGTTACACAAGCTGTAGSAGCGAGGTTTTATAACAGTGCGGTTTGACAACTGTCAGCGAGGCGTCGGCGCTCACGTTTACCGAGTTTACCTCCGAACGAGGCGCAGAGAGGACCTCAACCCGACCTTCGGTCTAAATCAGAGGGGAAACGTTTGACCGACTCGGGATTTATTCGACTTGGTTGAGCTTCTTGACTGTGATTGTCTCAGCTGAGGTCCGTGCTTTGAGCAAACGTTCACCGCCTCCTCTCACGTTTCTGGCCGTCATGGAGTTCAGTTCGGTGATTTTAACCACCGGGAGCTCCGTGGTGTTCTTCAGGCTTGTGAATGCCGGTGTGGGGAGACTCCCGGTGCCCGAGCCTGCGCGCAGGAACGTCTGGAAATGGAGAAACATCTCCTCATCCTTCGTCCACAGTGTCATCACTGCCATATGGGCAGTGCTGTGGTAAGTGCAACAGAGACACCAACGTTTTGTTTTTAAATGAAATGAATAAATCTATCGATCTATAAAATAATAATAAATGAACTTGTAGTTTTTTTTAAATCAGTGTTTCCCAAAGTTGGGGTCGGGACCCAAAGTGGGGTCCCGAAAAATCAAGGTGGGGTCCTGAAAAGATTTTCTGAATTAATTACATTTTTGCCTTAGTTGTTACAAAGGAGTGAGGTTARTATATTTAAAATGGATAAATGTAGTATAAAAATATTGTTACTATGCCCATGTTTAGTTGACCTGATACAAATGTTTATCATCCAAAAATATCTGGGGGCACAGGTCTCTGCTACTGTTATTTTGTGGGTCAAAAGCTGAAAAGTTTGGGAACCACTGCACTTTGGTTCCCAAAGTTGGGCTTGGGACCCAATTATGGGTCATGAAGCACCTTGGATAATCTCCAGAAATCAATTTAAAGGGTAATAAAATAATTGCTGGTGTAATATTTCCCCTATAACTACTACAAAAACACAAAATAAGTATAAATAAGTATTTATATTTGTGTACAAGCTGTTTAGATTGTCAAAAAGCCTGTGTTTTTAGGGTTATTAATGGAGTTCGTGTACTCAGACCAGTAATATTTGGGTCACAAGTTTTTGCCATGGATATTTTGTGGGTCAGAAGATAAAAAGTTTGGGAACCACTGTTTTAAATGATAAATCTCCGACAAACAAATGGAGAGTTTTACAGCTGCTGTTTAGTTATGCTGTCATTTTTGTTTGCAAACTAACTCCACTGAAGCAGATCCATGCTGTTTACAAGAGTTATATTTTTTTATTGTTTAACCTTGATGTCAAAGCTACTTTAAAACTTATATGTTTAATGTTTTAAATGTTGTCATCTGTTTATCTTTCCAGCTTCTTCTTTCAACCACAGATGGCTGAGGATCTGATAGAAACTTACTCTGTCTTTTCTCACGCTTTGGTGTCCTTTTCAATCGGTGAGAAGCATTTCTTTGTTTTATTCTTATCAGTGGATTGTGATTCGTTTCCCATCCAAGTCATCTCATCTTTGCCATGCTTCTCCTCCTGCATACTTTGTCCTAGAGCTGCCATTGTAATTTATATCTGTAAAGCTCCTGTGCCAAAGGATGGCTATGCCTTTTGGTGCCTGTAAAACGTAAAGTTTATGAAATATTAATGTTTATTGAATTATAATGGCAGTCAATGGAGCCTTGTATTGTATACTGCCCCATGCTGTACTCAACTTGGTACTGCACCATAGTTTAATATTTCAACTCAGTAGTTCAGTGTTTACGGTACTAATATGATTGTATTTTGATGTTATATTATAATATTGTCTTAATACTGCTCTGTTGTTGTAATATTATGCATTTTGTGTCAATAATTGTATTGGCAATGTGGCCTCTTTCTGCACACATTCAAACCAACCCCTGCCACCATCTTCTGCCACAGCTCCACTGGTCTAATGGTCTGTCATGGACTTTCATGTGGGAGATCAGGGTTCATAACCCAGCTAATGTAACTTAAACAAAAAATCTCTTCAAATTCCATATTGTCACACAATTACCTTAATTACAAACACCTGCTGACGTGACAGGCACAAGCTGGTATAGAAAACACATTTGAACTTGGTCAAAGTTCATGCTGCAGGCAAAGCCATGCTGCAATGACATGCTGCATGGCAATGCACACTTGTTTTTACATCGTAAAAACCCATGTCTAGTTCTTCTTAATTTAGTTAGGAGTTCGTTGGATCTAATGTCCAAACAAAAGCTTTCAAAAACAWTGAGAAAACCCAAAGAAGACCCATTCATAAAAATGACAATCTATTTGGAAGTTAAATCGTTTTAAAAAATGACAGATTACTAAGTATTTTTTGCACAATCCTGTATGTTGAAATGTTCAGAGACAATCAGAAATTGTGGAAATTTAAAAAAAAAAAAAAATCGGTCTTTGTTCCGAAATAATTCAACAGGAAAGATGTCTGAAGAGAAGCGTGCTAAAAATTCAACTTAGCYAGTTATTTGATTAATTTTTCAATAAAGCTACAGTGAATATCAACACCTATTAAACACAAGCCAAAATGTAGGTTTGTATAAATTAGATTTTGCCTTATTTCATTATAATTACTCTAGGAGGACATGCTAACCTACATTCCTAAAACAGCAACCTTCCTTTAGTTTTGCATGTTTTCTCAATAATAATTTATGTATTCTGACGTGACAAAGTACATGTAAACTCTGCTAAATGCACATTTTTTTATGGGAGGGTTTATATTGGGCAAAAAGAGCTTGCAGAGGATTCCCAGGATGTTTGACATTCTTTCGGGACGCCCAGCCCATGAACCTGGAATAGCGAGGAACATCGTTGGGGATGGGGAAACTCAATGAAGGGCTTTGTAGTCAGTCCCAGGCACCAGACGTAAMTTCTTACACTCATGTGACATCACCAAGATTGTGCAAAAAAAAAAAAATCAGTTCATTAATGCACACTGCCCACATCAGATGCTGTTCTGTATCAGGACCAGAGTCAACCACCCCACATCAAAACGCTTCTCTAACCCTCCTACTCAAAACGTGCCATTGTTCTGGTTTTTCTTTTCTCTGCTAGCCGTCCATAAATCATTCTCCACTTGCTGAAAGGAGACTCGTGAGATTTATGAGACTCAAAAGAAGAATTTGGCCATATTTAATATATTTAATTAAGTTTCTGTGAATGAGTAATAAATATTTCATCTTGTACTCATTGTGAAAAGCTTCTTGAGCATGTTTAGCTTGTAGAAACAGTTTGCCCAGAATGGATGAGCTAAAGGCTAGTCCAGCTAACACRACARTGGATAGCTATCATTTTAAAATGGCTCYGGTTCATAATGGTTCACGTGAACATCTTTACATTGCTGTCAATTTTGATTGACAGTATTTGCTTGATGTATGGCATRATATATGTGTGAATATCAGCAGCTGCAGCTATCTGTAACATTTCTGGGGCTGAAATCGCTGTATAATGTCAAACTAGTKTCAGTGTAAAGGTTTAAATAAAACAATTTGAAGACTGCAGTTGTTTTAAGACGGCAGTGATCTGCTTTGGAAACGGCTTTGCCTGGGCAAAACAGCTGGATAAAACAGCTTAAATCTTCAAAAAATTCATAGCACTTCATGCAAAAGTCATGGTTTAAATCCTTACATCGCATCACATGGTTAATTAGACAGAAATATTTCAAAYATCCTGCCAGAATTGAACCTTGGATCTCCCAGAAGTGCAGCATTACACTGCTGCTGGTGTTATTTACAAATAACTATAGAATTCAAATGTGTAAAATGTTTTTTTTTAAAGACTTCTAAAATAGAGTTTGAACCACCAAGAACGTTTTTGAGAGTTAAGATGGCAACAATCCATTTTGGTTCTGGGTGTGTTCAAAGTATCATCAGTCCACTTGGGCGTCGGTTGTTACAGACTGAAGCCGTTTAAGAAGATTTTTCCATTTAAAATAAGATTAAGTCAAATTTGGTCAAAATGACCTCATCACATTTCAGATTCCTGGCTTTAAAGGGATCCATGATTAGTTGTAACATTAGACTTTATTTAATAAACATATATTTTAACTGTAGATACCTCATAGCGGTAACATAATGACCCCCGCACACACAAATGCACCAGAACTCAGACGTCTTTATTCCTAATAAATGTCATGGTACTAGGTGCATCCCAAAATTGTAGTGGTTTGGGT